CGAAGGTTTTCCTGGGCTCTTTTTCAAGGGGGTATGCGGGGGGCTCAGCCCTTGCAGCTCAGCAAGAGGAGGACTAGATAAGGTCACGAGCGTCCTAAGTAGGAGCTCAATACCTGGTACGATCCCAGGTGTCCGATTTAGGACCCCTTTAGAAACTGAGGATAGTTTGCACAGGGCGGGGGAGGTACTGGTATAATACATAGATCTGGGTACAATACCTCCCGAAAATGCCTGAGTTCGGTCACTATGGGGGTTAATGAATAAGAATCTCACACTGCTCGCCACCGCTGATTTAGGGGATGGTAGAAGTCTATGAAGATTTTTCCATGTTTAAAAAAAAAATGCGACCCCCGGTGTTAGGTATAACAAGGGATTTAGGGGGAGGTTCGAGCTAAGACCTTCTCCGATGAGGGCACCCCAGTGCAAGGCGTGGGAGGTCCCATTGCCTGAACAGGTCACCGTGAGAATTTTGGCGATAGGAATCTTACACTTCCACATCGCCCCCGAGGGGATGATCTCTCACCTTCAAAAAGAAATCCTTACACGAAATTTGGAAATTTGGGATCACCTACATATACTTGAATAATTAATAAAAGAAAAACAAAAGTACTACAATTTCTAGTATCAATAATTATTATACTAACAACATGGAAAATTGAATTCTTGAAATTTGAAAAGTTGGAATCACCTACATATACTTGAATAATTAATTTAAAAAAAAGAAAAAAGCAATAGAAAAGTACTACAATTGCTAGTATCAATAATTATTATATTAACAACATGAAAAATTGAATTCTTGAAATTTGGAAAGTTGGGATCACCTACATATAATTGAATAATTAATAAAAGAAAAACAAAAGTACTACAATTTCTAGTATCAATAATTATTATATTAACAACATGAAAAATTGAATTCTTGAAATTTGGAAAGTTGGGATCACCTACATATAATTGAATAATTAATTTAAAAAAAAAAAAAGCAATAGAAAAGTACTACAATTTGTAGTATCAATGATTATTATACTAATCACATGGCTAATTGAAATCTTGAAATTTGAAAATTAATTACTCTATACTAAAAATTGTTCCCTAATTAGCTAATTACCCAAAAAGGTTCAGATTAAAAGTACCATTTTTATGCTTCCTCGTTTTCAAGATGCTTACAGCGTGAAGCACCTTGTACTTGAAGATTTCTTCTGAGATGCTGCATAATTGAAAGATTCCCAACGTTTTGTCATTCGCTGCCCTCCGAAAGATAACGAACGAGGATCGTTAGCAGTTGGTCGAATGAAAATTTCAACGGAATACAGAGAGTAGGTAATATTATCAGTAATTAAGCAAGATTCTGAGTAGAAGAGCTGGTACAATTTCAGGGAATTGGCACGACAAACACATGGCTCGCTTGTTCCACGAATGGTTATGGATGGTAATTCCAGCGATTCCAGGTAGGGAGAAACATTTCAGCTTGAAATTTTCGATTAAAATCGCGTTTGCATAATAAAATCTCTGACATTTGTAATTGAACACAAATACAATGGAAATCGTCATTTTCGTTTCCGGTCATTTTCCAATGGAAAAATGAATAATGATTGATAAATCATATTGAAACGTTTGCTGTCAAAGCTTAAAATGATTTTTATTTCAAGTTTGAAAATATATTGACATTTTGATTTTAATATGTAATTTTTTAAAGTCAATATTATTTACTTTGTTTCCATTTATTATATCGACTCTTGATATGAACAACATTATAACTTTAGTTATAATGTATTGCAACTATAATACAAAAGTATTAATAAAATAACTTTTGTTTTCTGTCTAGGTACTATGCTTTTATTATAATTAGAAGAATTTTTAACTGTCAAAAATGAAACATTGTAACACTACATTTCCTAACTTTTCGTCTTAAAAACAATATATTTTGAATTATTAAAAATATGACCCATTTAAAAGTATGCAAAAAATAAGAAAGAAGCTATAGGGTAACGTATACAGTATAGGATATTGCAAATGAAAATAGTATGAAATACAAAATTAAATTAAAATAGATTCAATTAAAATTAAATTAAAATAGTAGCTTTCTCCATGGTCCGCCATTATTTCCTATTTATTTACGTAAAGTATCAACAGCTGTATGTTTCCCTACTATTTTGAAAATTAAAGCTAAGATTACTAAAATCAACGAAGTGTACTCTATTTCAAATAATTATAATTAAAAGGGTCAACCATTGTATAAACAACTATATAAATTACCTTACCTAAATTCTTATTACACTAACTAATACAAACAGCAGATATAAAAAATAGAATCAAAAAATTGTAAATAGCTACAATGTTGTAGCTAGGTTTACAGAATATAAGCTAGTTGCAATGTTGTTCATATCAGATGTCGATATATTGTGTAAGATTAGACCACCATAGCTGTCCCAGTGACACGAATCGATGAAACAAGTCGAAACGAGCGCGTTACTCTGTTCCCAGAGGTCGAATAATTTCTTTGGCCAGTCTTTTCTCGAAATATGTTACCGTGAAGAGGAACGGTGGTTCCTGGAGACTGAACTGGACAAGGTATTCGACCCTGATACGAGAAAGTGCTTTATCCTGTCCCGGAAGAGGGTGGCTAGGATTCCCAAAGTGTCCATAATTCTTCCTGACGCGCGAGGATACAATCAACAGCGAAGAAATCCCAAGATTAAACGACCTATTCTCTCTTTCATTGCCAGATTTTCATTTAATACGATCTACAGAGGTCCAGATCGAAGAATTGCCTGTTCATTTGCTAAAAAATCAATTTCCTCAATTTAGCTTTTCAAATTTTCAATTTCATTACAAAATTCATTACAGATTGTAATTAAAACGAGAGTTTAAATATCAACATTTTGTAAACACCATTTTTCAATAAAAAAATTTATCTTTCTTGTTATTGATACCCTGCAAACATTGTGTCCATTGTTTTTTTATAAATGAATATTATTTGTGTATAACGAGAATACACCTTGAATTAAGACTTATAATTTAAGTTCATAATTTCTTTTAAAAAATAATATTCAATGGACTGAACAGAATCATCAAAGTTTTCTATAATTGACATAGAATATCTTTTGAATTGCAAAAAATAGCACAGTTTTTTAAAATGAAATATTTTCACTGTACTTCTTCCTATATAATCATGCTAGAATTACATCTCACTATTATTATTGCTTAAAACGTGTCTATCGCTGGAACTGCCTAGTGCTTTAAGAAGCTACTATAAAGTTCTACATTAATAAAGAAGTTAATAATAAAGTTCTACATTAAATGATAGATTATTATTATTGCTTATAACTATTATTATCCTATTATTATCTTTCATTTTTCGATTGAAATATTTTTAATATTTAATTATAATCTAGCCTCAATGTAACATAATAAATCTCATTACTTAAAAAATTACGAATTATTCTGTTCATTTCAAAGTTTCAGTTCTGGACCACTGTGTGATCTAAGGAAACGTCCAATTTTCTTTTGATACGATGTAATTCGTTGCACCCCTTTCAATAATGTTCTTTAGATGACAGAAATGAAGAAAAGAAGAAAGTTCGAAAGTTGTTAATTAATAAGAAATTTCAGGGAGAAATAGTTGAAATGGAAGTTGTTATACCTATTAGTAAGGAACAACTGTTTTCTACTTATTTTTCAAATAAATTACTGTTAATTTAAGAAGAAAAAGAATTTTTCAATACCTATAAAACTTATTTAAATTCACATAATATTAACACTTTATCTACTGAAAGCCTATTAGTAGACTTTTTGACAGTATGGGCTGTTCAAGAAAAATCAATTAATAACTTTTTGATTATTACACATTCACATATAATTTTGCTGAAATATTGCAAGTTAGATATTCTTCAATTAAGAGGAAATTGAAAAGAATGGTTACACCTTTCAATATTTAATTATTGTTAATTACAATGTGGTAGTAGGTATCTATTTTATTTATGCCCGGTGGAGAATGTGTTAATCATGCAGATACCATCAATTATTATTTGCATATGAGATCAATATGTAACAGGAATTTTAGAATAGCCTGTATGATTCTGCTGACGATCGTGTTTATAGAGCAGTAAGTTATTCAATGTAGCCAGATTTATCATCGATTGTTTTTCTCGGGGCAAGATTGCGAACTGGGTCAAAGCCGATCACCGCGGCACCGAGATAATGAAGAAGAAACCTTTCGACGCAACATTTCGTTCGATTCGGATCTGTTCTATCACGTAAGGTACTTTAATTAGACGTTTTAATTGGTAATTAGGACAGATAAGAGCGGTCTATATGCACACCGATCCTCGAAAATTTTGCTGTTCGTTAGCGATCGTCTCGTTCGAAGCGTGGCTTTCAATTAACATCGGCAACTGTTCTACAAGCAAATTAATCATCTTCACGAGATGTAATTAGATTTTTATTCCGATTGAGAAGATACCAGACTGGGCTGTGAAATGATAATTTTCCAGGAAATTCCGCCGTAATTATACCGAGATACAATATATGAGTAATTAATTAATTGTATCGTTAACAGAGATGTTATTAAACTAATTATGATTTCGATTTTAACCCTTGAACAACGGAGCCTGGTTTTAGAAACTGAAAATAATATAAAGTATGGAATTAAATTATAATTGTGGCTCTCTCCGTGGTCCGCCGTTTTGGAGCTCTCTTTACGGTCCGTCATCCAAGAGTTAATCAAAAGCAAAGTAATTAAGATGCAAGAAATTTTATATCATATCCTTTGAAGATTTCTTTGATAAAGGATCCTAATCTATCGAAACCGCGACACAAGTCTTACCTCTGCTCTCTGTAAGTCCTTTTTATCATCAAGATAAAACCGCTTTTCTTTTTCAAAAAAAAGAGTTGCCTAAGACCATAAAGGGTGTACCGTGGCTCGAATCTATCGAGTTGGAGAATTAAAGCGATCGATATCGCCTGTCAAGGCGAAGTAGTTTGATATCTACGGAAGGACTCACCGAAAACTGGAGCAAGGATGGATGACCCAGTGACCTGCAGCCTTCTGTCTGATCCGTTCCTTCATCAGAGCCTTCTTGCTGCCGAATAGCTTCATGGCCAACTTGTTGTCCGTGGGCTGGAACAGGGCCTGAAGCTGATTCTTCAAGAAGCTCTGCTTCACCTCCTGGCCCGGAAGTCCCGGGCCCGGCTCCTCCTTCGGCGTCCCATAGAGGGACACATCGTCCACTCCGAAGTGGACCTTCCCGCTGCCCTTGTAATTCATCTCGTTGCCTGAAACAAAAATAAAATTCCCCTTATCAGTGGTGATAAAAAAATCTCCCTAATTAAATTTTTTGAATTTTAGATTTTTAAACAAATTTTGACAGTAATATGAAAGTGATTTTTATATTTTAAGTAATATAAAATTTTTGAAAAATGTCGACAGTGATAAAGTGATAATTTTTGAAAAATTTCAAATACTAATAATTAAAGAACCCACAGGACGCCTTTCAACAGTAATTAAACCTTAAGAACAAACTCGTCCTGACGCAATGTTTGCACGAACTTCATTAGCTGGTACATCAAGCTGACGAGTTTGCTAAACATGACACGTCGATCCATCTTCGTTGAATAAACTCAAAGAGACCAGCTTGTTCGTGAATTCTACCATCGAACAATTTGATCGATTTAATCGATCAAACGTGTTTCAAGTATGTCTTGCAAACAGTTTAATAACACTGTTAATTGTATTATGGAAACTGTAAAGGTTGTGGATTGATGAATTTTAAATCAGGTTAGTATGGAAACTTGTTTTGTCTATTGAAACAAGACAATTACACCAGCAAGGCTAATCGGTGCTCTACATCCTGTACTCGGAGTTCTAGTTCAGTCGGAGAAACGGAGTGCATTTCGAGAGCGTGCACCCATGGTGGTTCGGCGAACACGCGAACACATTCCAGCTTCCCAAACGCAGCGTGCATACACGTGAAACGTAAAAACCTCGAAGCACCGTTCGACTCGATTAAATACAGTTAGCCGAGAGAAGGCTGACTTCTTGCGGGGACAATTTTCGCGCCAGGCGAATCATTGTTGCGGACCGAACGTTCGATCGGTATCGATTCAACGACGAAGCAGAGGAATTAATATTAAATTGTCAGTTTCTCATCAATTTTTATTATGTAATTATTGTATTATTAGAATAGAGTTTTCTGCGGAAGTAAATGCAAACATGCTTTTTTTATTTCCTGCCAGGAGGAACAAAACAATTTCTGTTTTCTAAGTCGGTACAAAATTATTATCAAGGATAGCAAGTTTTTCGAACACTTTCAAAAGTTTTCAACTTCGATTAAGCATCGAATGGATTCAATATTCTATGATTAAAAAAAGATATGTTATCATAATTATTATTAGACGGGTGATATAGTTCCTCCCATGTGTTTATTATTAACCCTTGAATAGCGGAGTTTGGGTCAATCGAGACCCAAACTTATAGAAGAATGTATAATTCTTAAACGAAAGAGTTTCATATAATGGAGAAATAATTTTTAAAGCAACAGTGTAAAATTTAGAAAACGAAAATGAAATTCAAATATGGGCTCTCTCCATGGTCCGCTGTCTGAGGTCGACAGAGGCAGACCATTGAGAGAGCCCCAATTATTCAAAAATTAGGTTTGATCAGCTCAAAGAAATATATCATTTCACGTTTCATTGTTTTAAACGAAAGAATTTCATATATTGGAAAGTATAGAATTAAAAAATGAAGTTAAAATTAGGGCACTCTCCATGGTCCGCCGTCCAAGGCTTCATTAGATATTCTTGTTGTTCTTGATAATTCAATCTGATTGTTTAACCTGTGTATTCAACTTTGTTTACTGTGTACAATTACAGTTTTTAAATCATTCTAATGCTTACCTTGTAACAAATTACCTTGTAACGGTTGACTCACACATTCATTTACATATGTAAGACTTTTTACGAATTCAATGATACATCAAACAAAAACACAATAGAATCTCAAATTCATATCCCAAAATCAGCAATAAAAATGACATCACAAATGAATTCTTCCTTTGTGAAATTTCAATTACCCTTCTAATTTCTCTCTAATGTGTAGTAAATAAAATACTATCAATTTTTACAATTTATCTCAAAATACAAATATATTTTCGAACCTTCTATAGATAGTACAAATCACACCAAATAAAATAAAAGGTGAATGGAACTTTCTTGATGAAATTTCAACTATTCTCATAATTTCTCTACAACGTGTAGTAAATAAAATACTATCAATTTTTACAATTTATCTCAAAATACAAATATGTTATCGAACCTTCTATAGATAGTACAAATCACACTAAATAGAATAAAAAATGAATGGAACTTTCTTGATGAAATTTCAACTATCCTCATAATTTCTCTACAACGTGTAGTAAATAAAATACTATCAATTTTTACAATTTATCTCAAAATACAAATATGTTATCGAACCTTCTATAGATAGTACAAATCACACTAAATAGAATAAAAAATGAATGGATCATTCTTGATGAAATTTCAACTATCCTCATAATTTTTCTATAACATGTAATAAATAAAATGCTATCAATTTTCACAATTTATCTCCAAAAACGAAAATGTTATCGAACCTTCTATAGATAGTACAAATCACAACAAACAGGCTAAAAAATGATAAAAGCAAATTTACAAATGAACCATCAAAATATCAAGAAATTTGCATTTTCTCAAAGAAAATAAAAATACGAATATTAACGAAAGTATGAAAACCTTCAACAGTATATCCCTAAGGTTCCTCAGCTTCCCTAACCACCCAGAAGAGCGATCTCCCAGAAGACTCACCAGATTTCAAGTTTCTACGCGCGTGAGACAATTCCGGCCAGCTGGCGATGAATTTTCTACAGCCTTTCGGCTTGCTATCAGCGCCGGATTGCTTTCGTAGCAACGGTCTCTTCAGCTCGTTCAGTTTGCTGGCACGCGCCGTATCGTCGGCCATCGCCCGTCAAGCCAAGCACGAGGATCGTCGAGGAGGAAGGATACCTGGCCCCGTTTACCGTGTAACTGGTCCCCGGTGCAGAGGTTGACTAATGACGAACTGAAGACCCGGGTAAAAAGAAGCGGGACTCCTCGCGCGAGGCGAAAGCCGGAGGAAGACGAAGAGAAGAGAGAGAAACGGTGACCGGTTTTATTGTCGAGCCGACTACGCCGGCGACCAGCGTGCTTTCGTTCGGTTTCCATTCTTTCCAACGACTAACACATGCAAATAACCGCGACAATCTACCAGTCTCAACCTTGACCCTCCCCCCCGTCGACGGTCGAATTATCACCCGCGATATTTCAAACGATGCACACCCGCGCGACGCCACTGTTCCGCCACTCTGACAAGGGAAGTTCGGTAACTCGATAATTCCGATTTTTTTGAAACTTTTCAGGTTTATAGAGGACCTCGAGAGAAGTATAGTGCAATTTTTGTTTCTGGCCCGATTTCAGTTCTTCGGGGTGAAAACACCCCCCGAAGGTAAACAGGTGTGTCCCTGTATATCTTTAAAACTATCGTAGATATAAAATAATGATTATAATAATTATACAAGTGATAACGCGTGAAAAGTGCACGTATCGGTGAAAAGTATTTAAATACGACTTTGTTGGGGAAATTTAGCATACATATTTGCATTTATAATGAGGTTCTACGTATTTTTCGACGTGACAGGGAATTCAAAATTTTTCAAAATAATTTTTCAATAGAATTTTTATTAATTTAATTGCCTCGTTTTATAGAGCATTAAAAACCATTCAATGTTTATTATAATCATTTTTTTAGATCTACGATGGTTTTAAAGATATACAGGGAAATATGAAAAATCCTATCCACCTTCAGGGGGTGTTTTCACCCTGAAGAATTGAAATTGGGCCAGAAACAAAAATTGCACTTTACTTCTCTTGAGGTCCCTTACAAATCTGCAGTTTTGAAAAAATTGGAATTTTCGAGTTACCGAACTTTCCTTGTGAGTGCGTGTTGCCTCGGGATCACCTTCTGGGATTTTGGAATATTTCAAGAATTCGCGTTTTGAGTGCCTTTGCGAATTAATATAACGGAATAGTTCTGAAAATGGAAAGCTTCATTTGGTGAAGTTTGAAGAGTTTGAGAAGTGGAGGATTTTTAGGATTTCCAGGATTTTGAAAATTGAATTTCGAGTGCTTTTGTGAATAATTAAGTAAATGGTTTGGAAAATGAAAAGGTGTGAAAGTTGTGGTTTATTTTCCTGTTAGGCAAAATCTGACGAGTTTAGGAACTGTGAAGGACCTCAGAGGATTTTGAAGAATCTCCAGGATTTTGAAAATTGAATTTCGAGTGTTTTTATGAATTAATGAATAGAATAATCGAGTAGATGGCTCAAGGAATGAAAAGGTGTGAAAGTTGTGGGGCAAAATCTGAAGAGCTTAAGAAGTTTACAAGATCTCAGAGGATTTTGAAGGATTCCAGGGATTTAAAAATTGAATTTCCAGTTCTTTTGTGGATTAATGGATAGAATAATCGAGTAAATGGCACGGAAAATGAAAAGGTGTGAAAGTTGTGGCTTGTTTTGTTGCTAATGTAAGCGAAATTTGATGAGTTTCGGAAGTATAAAGGACCTCGGAGGATTTTGAAGGATTCCCGGAATTTCATGGTTGAGTGCTTCTGTGAGTCATAACAGGTGAAATATTTAAGGAGTGTTCGGGGAATTCAAAGTATGCAGAAGTTGAGGTGTGCATTAATGCTCGAGTTGCATGAGTTTGGAGGTGTTCGGAGGATTTTGAAGAATTTCGTCATTTCCCTTTCACACTTTCACAATTTTGAATTCAAAACTAACGATTAATAATAGTAATTACTTGTATACATATTTCAGATTTTAATTAACACGTTGAAATGATTTAACACTTGCCTAAATAATTTAAAAATAAAAAGTAACGAAATATTATTTTAAATAATACTGCTAGGATAACGTATACAATAATCAACCCCTTCTTTTCCATTTTTTCTTGCCTAAAAAAGTAAGAAGTGTAATATAATGCATTTTTGAACCTTTGGACTGCGGACCATGGAGAGAGCCACAATTTTGATTTAATTTTGTACCTCATATTATCTTATTTTGTTTCAAAATTATACATTTAATTTCAGCTTAATCTCCTTGTATATATTTTGTAAATATGGGTCACGATTGACCCAGGCTTCGGTGTTAAATAATAAAATATTATTATCTTTCACAGATCAAATACTTTTTCTTCTAAATAGAATTACAGTTTATTATGTTTATATAATAAATTATATAAACAGATTTTTATATAATTCCAGATAATTTCCAGATTCACCTGGAGGAGAAATAACTGTCCCCGGTAATGGGGCGCACTCGAACTGATTTTTTGAAAGGGTTAAGGCCGTATTGAAAGGGTTAAATAAAAAAATTACTCCCACCACTATTATTTTGAAAAATTTTGATTATGCATTCAATTATATTTTCTGCTTTCTTAGGAAAAGAAATGGTAACTGTATACATTACCCTATTGTAAAAATAATGTAAAATAGCAAATAAAAAGCTTGCATTTTGAAATTTGAAAATTAATCATTCCTATTCACAATAATTAAAACTTCAATACGTCCCACTACAAATGCCCATTTTCATTGTAGCATTCAACGTATTAAAATATAACAGAAAAAAGATTGATAAAAAATTAATCACAACCACAATTTCGACCAAAACACTGTAATACGACCTTGGAGATACGAAGTGTTTCTTTCCTTACGATTTTTATCAATGAACTTTGCTATAGGTAATTCGTAAATAAATTATCGCATACAAGAAGAAATCTACATAGAAACGACTCATTTACTGTGCTCAAACGCCATTCTTTTTCCTGCGTAACATTTAATTAACCCAAGCTTTAATAATCTCCAGTTACGTATATTCATTGTTGCGTTTGATACACAGCTGATAACTGAATGATTCATGCCTTTATGTGAGATTTACGTTGCTCTGTGGTTGAACAAATGCTGAGAACGTTGATTCTCAATAGAAAACTATAAAACTTCTAGAAATTGAAACAAGTCGAGTTCGTTTATTTATATTGGAAAATTATTGTTTTAAAACACTTGAATCTATTTTTAAAATTGAAAATAAATTAGAAAAATGAAAAATAAATTAGCATATACAATATAATTAACATCTTTCATCTCTAAACAATTTACAATACATTTTGATAATTAAAAAAAAGAAATTTTGAAATTTATTTTGGTTCTTGATAAAAAATACAAATAAAAATGTTTGAGAATATTTTCAAGGCTCGTTCGTATTGACTAACTATAGTGCGTTTAAAATATCACAAATATGTACATAGTCTTCATGAATAGATGATTTATTAAAATCTCCAGTTAAACAAATCATTTTTAATGACAGTAAATTCAAACGTGGATACCAGTAATGTTAATCGATTCTTATGAAAGGAATGATGAACCATAGAAAACAAACTCTATGATTCACACATTTTTCACTCGATGACGTTTAAAAATCATCATATTTAACAGAAAATTACCATAGTTGTCCATAAATAAATCGTATAAGACTTAGATTATCCTCCGATTATACTAATGATTTGTATACATGTATAATTAAGGATAAAGAAAATTTATTCACACACTACTCAGTTGCTAATTATTCTAATTACAACTTCATTTCAATGTATGATCATTTGAAATTTATCTCTTTGCTTACACAAAATAAACTTATCAACTTCTTGCATACATTATGATTTAATTTTATTCAACTAAATAAGGAAATTTATTCCGAGACTTCAAAGTAATAATCATATAATTAAAATTTCTAAAAATTATTCACAGGTTTTAAAAAAGCTTAATATTGAAAATTTAAAGTAAATTTATTAATATTTAAGAATGGATGACCAAAGAATGAAAAATTAATGTTTTCCTATAATCAGGAAAAAAAGTATCAGTGGAAATTAGAAATATGTAATCGATCATTAACATAAGGATTAAGTTGTAAACCGAGAATTTATCGAGTGTTAAGTAAGATGTTGATTATCATCGAAAGAACTTTATTTCTTCGTGCTTTAGCTGACTGTCACGTGCTCGTAAACCACGTAGACCGAATGGCAAGCCACTTTTGATTACTCTTCTATATCGCAACAACCGATAATGGGCTCGTTACGCGCATTTGTCGACGAATAAACGAGCTCCATGGCATTGCTCCATATTTTCGCTAGAACGCGTGCACCACATTTAAATTCACCACTTTTGTTCGAACCGGAATACACGAACTCTAGGTTTCAATGAAAATCATTTATGAAAATATAAACACACCGTATTTTAACAAAAACTTATCAAATTATAAATAATTTAACACTTTTGACCCATATATGGATGACGTTTGAATTCCTATCCATCACTCATATTATTAAAAATTCTTTGACTTACTTAATTAGATATTTGAAATTGGATAAAAATATAATGAAATATTGTAAAGATAATATGAATAAAATTTGTGAAGACAAAAGTAATACTTAATGGATTTTTCAACGTCGCAATCGAAGTGTTAATATGTGAAAAAAATTTGCAAACACATTTTCATAAAGAATTATTAATTTTTCTATAAAAATAAAATTTATCTTTATAGAATTTCTAAAGATCGTTCAAGTTCAATGTTGAATTCGTATTATTACCTCATCACCTAACACCTAATTTATCCTTCAATTTTTCTAATTTCATTGATGTGATCACCTAGGAAACATTGTTTCATGGATACAGCGAAAAAAAGGTTAAATTGCATCGATGACACATCGTACATCTTGGCAATAATTCCTGGCGTGTTTGGATCCACACGTGTGGGTGTCATTATGTGTTACACTAAATGAGCTTGATATATAAGTGGAGGAAACGTAGGTGTCTAATGCTGTCTATTAATGCAATTATTGTTACCTTTTGCTTGTCATAATTTTTAACAGCCTTTTTTAATGAAAATGTTGAGAAATGAATTTAAAAAACAATAAGGGGACATGAATGCAAATAGAAAGTGTGAGAACGTTAAAAATCCAACAAATTACTGTTTTTTAAACACACGCGTCAAGTGGTTTGCTCAACTTTTATTTGCAGTTGAAAAAAAAAGGACATAAAAGGGATTAAATGCAGTGAGAGAACGGGCATTAAGCTAATTGACGTCAAGCTTGCTCATACCGCTATTAAATCACTTTTGTGAATCGTGCAACAACGTGACAAACGTTTCCACCTTTTCCAGCGAACACGTCGCAAATCTCGCGTGAAAACGTGAAGAGTATCTGTCGCAAGCTGGCCAATTAAATTTCCGCCCGGGGAAGATTCAAACTGTAACTCAATGCCCGCGGACGAAACTAGAGGTGTAGGTTTTCATACAATCCTGACAGCGCTCTAAAGTTTCCATCTAAATATTGAATCAGACTCCTAAGTCCTCTTTGTTTGGCAAATATCCTCCATAAATGAAAATTTCTATACTTTTATCACTTGTGAAAAGTCTAAAAATTAGTCCTTTTATATCAAAATTGAAAAAATTATCAATGCTATCTAAAAAAATTTTTATTCTATTACAGTTTTAATTAATATACTCTTTTGCTGTTATTTTATCAAAGGTATAGGTAGCAAAAGATTCATAGATTGTGGAGTTTTTGCAGTTGAACCTTTTTATAAAATATTAACTGGTATGAATAAATAAAGGTATTACCTTTACCTCATTTTAATTCAAAATTAAATATACAATTTTTAAATTAGAGTTTCTTGAATTGGAAGAATAATTTTTAAAAGGACAATGTACAATTTAGAAAATGAAATTAGAGCTTCTCCATGGTCCGCCGATAGAGGGTTAAAAAATGCATTATGAATTAAATTAAAATTATAGCTTTCTCTATAGTCCACTGTTTTAGGGGTCTCTCCATGGTCCGCCATCAAAATACTAGACAAATTTCCATACTGTTTATTATAATTTTCTTTTACGGTAAAAAGTAATTTACTTCACAAATTATTATTTTTTTCTAATTTTTGCAATTAAGTAAAGATAAGTTAGACTAAAGTCTAAAAAGTTAGACTGAATTATTTATACTCAACAAAATATTTACTATTTTAAATACTTTCAAATGCTTCTACTTTTAACTTCATTTTTATTATTCATACCGTCCATTATCTTTTGCATATTTTAAGCATTCTGAAGAGTTACAATTTATCTTTTTTGTTCTACCTACTCTAAATATTTCACATGTTCTGTGTACACTCTGTTGTATTAAAAATGCTTAAAAATCCACAATCAATTTTTACCAAAATGAAAATAATAAATAAACAAAATATCTTTTTTGGTTTACCTAGTACATACATGTTTCACGTGTTCTGTATACATTTTGTTGTATTAAAAATGCGTAAAAATCCACAACCTATTTTCCGCAAAATGAAAATAATAAATAAACAAAATAAACAACTTACCTTGGTCGGCCACGAAATCGGTGATGAGCAATGTCTCGTCGTCTAGAGCAGTGACGAGGCTGTCCGTGCAAGTGTTCGTGTTCTCGATGCTGATCTTGATGCTGTCATCTTTGTTAAGCCGTGGATAATTGTTCGTGGCGGGGTTATTACCGGCGTGGCAGTTATTATTGTTGTTATTATTATTATTATGGTTGCTGTTGTTGTTGTTATTGTTATTGTTGTTGCCGCCTTGTTGCTGGCCGAGGTGGTAATGGGGTGAACGAACGGATTCTGTGCTGCTGGTGTGCAAACTGATCCCTGTAGTCGCTCTTCCGTTCACCAGTCGTAAACTCGGTGCCCGTCGACCTCCACCTCCTCCTCCTCCACCCCCACCAGCGTTTGTCACAGAACGACCGCCACCGCCGCCACCCTCGCCCTCCCTGGAATTACATTAGATTCTTCGTTTACAATGTCTACGTTTGCATTCGAATGGCGAACCATTCGTTAAAAGATTCAGAAACACCACCAAGGGGTGAATTTATGGAAAATTTAGTAACCTGAAGGGTTACTTCACTTGCATTCCTGAGGATAATTTTCCTGGATATTTGGAAATGTGAAGGGTGGAAAAATTGAATAAAAGTGATTGAAAGGGTGGTATTTTTGACTATGATTAACCCTTTGACTGCTAAGTACTATAAACTTAAACGTTCTACATGTACGAAATAAGAATTGAGTCAACAACACATTTTTTCTTATTTCATTTTATTTCTCAATTTATTTTTCATTTTTTTTCTCATTATTTTATCATATTATAATCTGATAACATATAGTGTGTAATTAATAATATGCATTGATTTATTTGATTATGATTAAGATATACAAGAAACAAACTATGGATGCATGTCTACTGCACCTGACGCACATGTGCGTCCATAGCAGTCAAAGGGTTAAGAGGATATTATTTTAGACTGTAATTAGTCACTTCAAAAATACTCAGCAAATTACAGCGTTTTAATACTTTGAAGGCTTCTTGCATTGCATGCTAATTAACGATTTGGACGCAAAAATCAAACATCTCCAATTTCTCTAATTTTGCAAGAACTTGAAAACACTGTTTAAAAATATTTTTCTTAAACATATAATAAAATCTGAATTTCTACCAAAAATGGAGCTGCCTGGTTCTTGTATTCAATTCTTCAATTAAAATATGAAAATATAATAAATTTCCCACGAATGATTGCTTAATATTCATTCTAATTTCAAACACGATTATACTATCATCAACGCTAATGGAAATCCAAATGTTTGCCCTATGGCAAGATACCGGGAGCCAATTTACATTACAGAGTTTGACGCGTGCGGGGAAGCGATTTCTCTCTTAAACGAGCTGCAAAAGTCGTCGACGAAGGAGCAGCGTTAGTATCTTAATTGTGATCGGTATACATATCCTGGCTTGAACGTTCGAATAGCCACCCTTGAAAATTGGCTGGCTAACGCGCGTACTTAGCGAAACCGTCCTCGAGGCGCGTTCCACTTCTTAATCTTTCCATCTCGAATGAAATCGTCCTTGTGATTCTGGACACCCGTCTTATCGCGCCGTTTTATCACCCCCGACAAATTGTCCCCTCTTACAGATTCATCCTTTAATTGTATCGCATCGCTCGAATTAAGCGGAGGATTCTGTTAGCTGACTTCTTAATTACTAATTAAGGGATGGAATCACTGGGACGATCAGAGATAAATATTAGATTTTATTCATTAAGTTATTTTTTGTTCTATTTTGTTCCATTGACCTTTCTAGATAATTAGGTCCTAGTGTTAATGAAGATAATTAAAGTTTATTTATACTGATAGTTGGTTAAATTAAATTTGAGAAAATTTCAAGTTCCATAAATATAATATTTATGATGATTAACCCTCGGACCTAGTATTTCCCTAGTATTAACCCTAGTATTTCATATTATTTTCATTTTTTAAATTTTACACTGCTTTGTTAAAAATTATTCCTCCAATATATGAAACTCTTTCAATTCAAAATTATACACTTGACTTATTGTTAGAATTAATATCCTTGTATATATTTTGCAAGTTTGGCTCACGATTGACCCACGCCCCGTTATTCAAAGGTTAATAAAAATTAAAAATACCTGGAATAGAATTTATAAAGATAGCTCAATTTCAAGAATACATTTTTAAATCATCCGGATCGGTTATAAGGAATTTGACGAGTTAATTTTAACGACGTGCTAATTCTCCAAGGTGTCAAACGAAAGAAATCTTCTTTACGAGTAAATATAAACTTTATTTCTCGGTTGTCTACATAAAAACGTGTTATAGCCGCTCAACGAATGGAATTTGTAGAATTTGCATCGCAGCTGTGTTACTTCATCTCTCAAATACAAATAAAAATCCGAAAAATTACGATTTCTTTCTGTGCAGAAAAAAATTCGTAAATAAAACACCGAATAATAAATCTTTAAATGAAACTTGAATGAAATAAAAAGCTTGAATATCCAGTTCTGAGAAATACAGAAACGAGCTTTCAAATATTAGAATGCTTTCACATTATTCCAAAGCTTAAGGGTTCCCCGACTTTTTTCAGGACGTATCAGACACAGTCGTCGGAAAGTAATGAAGAAGAGGATCTTATCGATGAAAACAGATCACAAGAAGATCCAAGTACAAGAAAACGTGGCATAACGATCCCAGGTCACTGTTATCGACAGCTCGTTTTGCAGAGAAGCATTTCTTCTTACAGTTACCCTGCCCTCTGATCCCAATAGCAGATAAATATCTGCCATCCACGATACTGCAACCTTCTGTTTCCAATTTTTTCCCTCCGCAACGGAAAGCAATATCGAAGAGCAAACATATTTTACGAACCTTCTGCTCGAATAATATAACTGCAATGTCAATCAACTAATTGAGAAATTTTTATAATCTTTAATTATTAAAGAAATACTAAAAATTATAATAAAAAACTATTGTTATCCCACCCATGGGGTGTAATGGCCAAAAATGACACTTTAAAACAACAAAATTAATGAGATTATTTACAAAGGACAAATTAAAATGAAATAAATTAAGAATCGTAGATGATTTATACCTGGTTTGTTTTTCCATTTTTGTCTTTTAGATTTCTTTAAAAATAAATGAATTTACAATAACCATAATACCCTATCTTCTCCTATATAGAACCCCTTCTCTACATTGTCATTTTTCGAAATAGAATAAGAATTGTAGATTGTTTATATCTCGTTTTTATTTTTTATAATTTTGATTGTTAGATTACTTTAAAAAATAAATTAATTAACAATAGCCATAATACCCCACCTGCCCCTATATAGGACCCCTTTTTATATTGCCATTTTTCCCGGGGGTTGCCTAAGGGGAAAGGCGTGGAACTTGAACCACTACATATTTTCTCTGAGGAAGCCTTGTTTGCTCGTGAGTGTACACAGCTGCGAACGAATAATCGCGGTTAATCTTCAATAAGTACACGCGCAATAATGCTTTTCAATTCTCTGAGGTCAGTTTCAAGTACGCCAATGAATATTTATTAGTGCTAAATCAAGGGACTCGAGAGAAGCTTTCGGAATACAAATAACCGCGTGTTCACCTCTTGCAAACACGAACGTCAATATCTTCTTGTGAACAAGGACAAAATGAAATTATTATTGAAAGCTGAACGCTCACTTCGTCTCTTGTTTATCCTCTTACACAATTCCTTCGATACGTTGAGCAAAATTTACGGGGAACTTTGAAGAACATCCGGGAACAAATGGCTTGGGATTCGTGATGAAAATTGAAAACACAAAGAGGAAGTTGTTAATAATTTAACGAATAAGAGGAAGACAATTGGGTTTAATCATTTCGAAATTTTTGCAATAACTATTAAAAGTTTTTAATTAATAACTTTTAAAATGTAAATTGAAAAAACCATCAAAAACCAAAGACTTTTAATTTATCTATTATTATCAAAATCCAATAAAAGTTCAAATTCCTCCACCTTTTAATGCTTCCTGGTTATTCAAGTAGTGCAACTGCGCTTTTGAAGTGCATCGTTGCACTAATGAAAAGCCTAATATATACAAAAATAAAATTCCCAGTATCACCCAATTTTTATTTACTTATTATTAGTAAAATCTAATAAAATTTTGGATCCCCCACCCTTTAATGCATCCTGGTTGTTCAAGTAGTGCACTTGCACTTCTGAAGTGCATCGTTGCATTCATGAAAATCAAATACGAAAATAAAATTTCTAGTATCACCCAATTTTAATTTATCTATCATTATCAAGCTTATAAATAGAACTATATATCTATATAAATAGAGCTCAAATCTAAATTAGAATTATTCATCTGGAAATTTTTGCAGTAATTATTAAAAGTTTTTAATTAATAGTTTTTAAAATGCATAACTCTTCACCGAGGACGGTATATGCAAAGTTCCCCTTAATTAGTAGGATGTTAGGCTATCTTGGGTCACCATTGACCCACGCGACACAGAACCTACTAACCTTCCTCGTTCGCAGAAAAAAAGGAATTCGTTTCACGCATGCCACGAGTCGTTTAACAAGCTTCGCGAGCAACTCGATGAACCGGACTTAATTTCACTTTCATTGAATGCGAGGAAACCTCGCGTCGCGGATAAATTTGCAAATTAATTCTATTGGCTCGGTGCGTCGCGAGATGAATATGGCCTCGCGCATTTATTGAACCGCGCGGACGATCGTTCCGTCGCGGAATATCCGTAGAAAAAGTCGCGTTTCTATCCAGCTTGGGAATCACCTGAATTATGCAGCTTTGTCTATGCAAATTTTCCACTTAAAGACGGAATTAACTCTTCGTTACTTCCTTTAGACTGACTTGCAAACTTCTCGTTAAATATCTTAGAAGCAAGATTTGAAACAATTAGGACATATTATACAATAATAATTTCAGTTGATAGTATACTTTGTTATAAGTTAAAAGCTAAATTGATATATAGAAGTTAACCGTCGCGTCGGTCGGCGGACCATGGAGAGAGCCTCAATTTTAATTTAATTTTCTACAAATTAATTCTGCACATTTCCTTTTTTTTTTAATTGAAATGTTTTCATATTTTCGCGATCTTATGCAGCTTGGAAATCACCTGAATTATACAGCTTCGTCTATGCAAATTTTTCATTTAACGACAGAATTAATTCTTCGTTATTTCCTTTAGATTGATTTGCAAACTTCTCATAAAATGTCTTAGGAAAAGAGTTAGGAACTTTTTTAGAAAAATAATTTCAGTTAATACTATACTTTGTTAGAAATTAAAATCTACATTGATATTTAGTGGTTAACCCTTTGACGGCGGACCATGGAGAGAGCCCAAAACTTTAATTTTCTACAAATTATTTCTGTGCCATCCCTCCTTTTTTAATTGAAGAT